TATATATATATATATATATATATATATATATATATATATATATATATAAAATTTTTTCTTGGGACAGGAAAATAATGTCTCGTAATACGCAAAAATTTTGAAATAAGTTGATATTATCTCGAATGAACACATCAGCTTCTTAAATCAAAGTGATTTGGGTTTTTAAACTTTGTACACAAGATTCTGTTAAAAAAAAAAAATATTTTTATTCTAATTCGATTCCACACCTCTTACGCCAAATTGAACAAATATTTGATATTAACCCTGGGAGTACATTGGAGGTCATTTTGACCCCAGAATTTTTTTTATCCTAAAATATTTCTCGAAAATAGGTTCGTTTTGAAACGGAATGTTTTGTTTCCCTTGGTCGCCCCGTTTACTCTTAAGGGCGCCACTGGATTTTTGGACTCAGTATCCAGAAACTGGACCAGAACATGGAGTGCTAGGTCAGGGTCGTGAGAGATTGCTGAAAGGAACTAAAATTTAAACACAGAAATTCGTTTAACAAAATTATTTATTTATCCAATCCCTCTAACAATTGAAATAATGGCCAAGATAACAATATATAAAATTTCATGGATAGAAATCCACACTCACACTCACTCTCATACGGTATATTTCGCGCTGTCCAGCTAGACCCTCACGTGGCTGTAGTACCCGAGGCCTACTGGATTCTCACGTTACTCTATCTACTTCGCGTCGTCCCCTGGACCTCTAACGTTACTCTAGCTTAGTTCGCGCGGTCTCACGCATCCTCACGCCACTGAGCTGGACCCGGACGTGACTACACACGTTGTCCACACAGTGCGCGCTGTCCCCCAAACTTCACGCTACTCTAAGAGAACTACCCCGAAACTGGATAGTCTCTTTACTCACATACAAACACACTATTTTCCATTAACAATATTACACAAATTATTTCTGACTAATAACACAATTTCCAATATTGTTTCCTAATTAACGATTTCTTATTTACTAATTATCATTTCTTCTAAATACTAATTTACTGCCGTGTTCTTAATATTACGACAATAATTATCCAAATTACAATTCCAAAATATCGAGGATTAAATCCATTTATTATGTCCGAGAAATTGCTAAATAAATTTTAATCTTTATTTTAGCAAACTTGACTAAATCCGATAATTGAGTAAACTTGAACCTTTTACATTATTTAGTTTAATCCAAATTATTTATTTAATCCGAGGCACTTTATTTAATTCCATATCGGCTGTAAATTTTACTAAATTTATTTTCAACGCAAAAGAGAAATTTAGACAAGAGATTATTCTATTGTATTTTATTATGTGTTTCTTAAAACTTAATATTTTACTTTACTTGAGTTTATTTTATTTTAACCGAACGGAGACTTTTGTCTCGACCTTGAGTGTCCTCTACTCTGCGCTTCGCGCGGGACAAGATGGCTGACGCTCTCGCTCGGCCTTGCGCCTTTGTCGCTCGACTCAGGTATCGTTTTTTTCAGACGAAATTTTTACAATTTTTATTTTCTATTTTTTTTACTGAATGATTTAGATTGACAATTCTATTGATTTAAATGATTATTTCCGGACTCTAAGTTTAATTTAAATTAAGACAAATATTAAATAATGTGCCGAATAATTTATTAAAATTAATTTTACTGTCGAATCAATTTTTGTCTTAAATAATCTTAATTTTGCGGTTTACTCAATTTCATTTCTATTGGCTTAAGCCAGATTATTATTCAAAGATTCTCAATTAAATAAATTTTACACATGGCGTAAAAATCTGGAATTAATAACCCGAACTAATGCCTAGTATTATCAACCCAGACAGGCCTACGTGTAAAATAAGTAATAACAAAGACAAACTATTTTCCCTAACAAATTAATCAATAACCCGAAACATGTCCTGGTATTATTAATTAACTGTTTTATAATTTTCTAATCTTAATATTAAACCTGATACTAATTTAAAACTAACGATTGTGACTGAGCACGAAATGGCGGTGACCTTCAGCCGACGTGTTGCCTGGCTGACGCCGCAGACCCGAAGAATAATTAAGACTCGTTATTTGTACCTGGAGTTTTCTTATAATTTTATCTGCACTCCAACAGTGAGCTGCAACTCCTCGTCTTCGGGTACTGGAGTGGATTTTCCCTTGGTGAGGTATTCTCGATTTGGCGGCAAACTCTGGTCACCATCACTCGCTCTCTGAGTATTTATTACGCCTGTAACCGCAAATCAGCATTAGAAATTATCACAAGTTAAAGTTAATCTAACCAAGCTGGCATTAGGCCTAACAAGCATTAAATTAACAAAATGTTATCGCTTCGCTCCACGTTGGACAAGCAGAATAAAAATAATTACCTTAGCTGGATGTTTTAGAAAATTTTGCGTCTCGTCCATTCGAGCCACTCAGTCACAATGAGTCTTACCAAATTTTGCTCGTTCTTTCTTGCTTCCTTTGCTCTCCCCACTACCACTACGCCGGCTTCTCCACCTTGGGGCCTTTTTTTACTAGCTCTAAACGAGCTTTAGATCACAGCGCACTGTGAGCAATCGATAAATAACTGGGTACCGAAATAGGGGAATTTACCGAGTAACGATCACTCCGTTACAGTTTTTAATTAATTTTTTCATTATTAAAAACAATTTAATTCAGAATAATAATGATTGTATTCAAAAGAACATTGTTTTACTTACAAAAAATGTAATAACCTGAATTCCGATAAAATGCATAGTTTCTGAGATATAATTCTTCGAAAGTCAAGTGGGGTCAATTTGATCCCGTGTGTACTCTAAAATTCTGTTCAGAGGTGTGTACTCCGAGGGTTAAAATTACTTGAACCAAGATTAAATATTTTGAAGAAAACAAAAAAAAAGTTGATTTAAGAAATTTCTGATTCTTCGTGCAAGAGTTTCTTTGATTAATCCAAGAATAAATTTTGTTTATTAAGTTGAGAAACAGAAAAATATTCAGATAACATTACCGAATTGAAGGCAAATATTTTCTTAGTTCAAGATAATCATTTTTTCTATACAATTCTACGTAATAATTAACATTTTTCACCAAAGAAAATACGGATAATTTCCTTTTAGATATTTTCCTCCAGAAAATTTTGACCTTAAAGAACGATTTGAAAAAAAAATTATTGTTTAATATATCTAAAACATAAGTCATCAACTCAATTATCCCAGGCATTAAAAAACAAAAATTGTACCGCTTTGAAACTATCAGAATTTTTTTAAGACAATAAATTCTCGAATTTCGACAAGTTATAATTTTTTTGGTAGAAAGTTGATTTAATACTTCCGAGACGGTTAAAAATATATAAATTTGACGAATATGTTTTTCTATTTCTAGTATGGATGGTATTGGGGACCTATGTCCGGTGAAGCAGCAGAAAAAATATTATCTAATGAGCCAGATGGTTCATTTATCGTTCGAGATAGCAGTGATGATCATTATATTTTTTCGTTGTCATTCAGGCTTAACAGTTGTGTACGACATGTAAGAATTGAACATGATCAAGGTAAATATTAAGGATTTGTTTTTTTCTTTTTTATTGCCATGAAAAAATAACTTTTTATATAAAATTCATACATTAATCTACAAACGTAGGTAACTTCAGTTTTGGAAGCTGCACAAAATTTAAATCTCATACGATTGTTGATTTTATCGAAAATGCCGTTGAACACTCTCGAAGTGGTCGATATTTATTTTTTCTTCATCGGCGACCAGTGCTTGGTCCAATGAGAGTACAATTACTTCATCCTGTTTCAAGATTTAAACAAGTTCAATCTCTTCAGCATATTTGTCGGTTTATTATTTTAAAGATGGTACGAAAAGATTTGATTGCAACTCTTCCACTTCCTCGTCGACTCATTGACTATCTCAGTACACCACATTATTACAGCGAACAATTAATCGAACAAGAAGAGCGTGCTGAATCTCCAGTTAGCTCGTCAACTGGTGAACTAGAAAAGATTTGTTTTACACCTCAGGGGTTATCGTGAAACTCAAAATCAGGTAATTTTTATATTTTCTTCGTATTAAAATACTGCTATAGAATGGTTACGTGCGTTAATATCCCTGGACAAAATATACCCGAAACTAAATATCACTGCAACCAAATATCAATAAATGTAATATCACAAAGATTATTTATCAGACGATCAATTTCGAACAAACATAATATTTTATAAAATAAAGAATATTAGCTACTATTGACATTATTTCATTATTTATTTAACCCTTTAACGGTCGACCTTGAATCCCTATACCCAATTTCAATCGTCCGTCTTCTTCTTTAAGTGAGAGAGCTATAGTCTGTTTTGTAGAGAAGGGGCTTGAAAGTTCGCGTCACAAACTTTAAAGCAAATATCGTAAAATCGTCGTTGTCGAAATCACCACTTAGTGGCCAAATGACATACAATATTTTTTGTTATTATCGCTCCATAAGTTTAACTTTTGAGGGATAGGAGGCAAATAATGACATTCAAATTTTATGAAGTTTTACCAGAGCAAAAAAACTTAATTTTATATTAATTATCTATTTACTAATATTTATTTATGGAGTGGTTGTTATTTTATTAACATTAGGTCCGCTTCGTAACAAACTGTCAGCAGAGAAATAAATAGCGCTACTCATTAGTAACTAAGTTTAAATTTACTCAAAATCATCGGTCGATATACTAGAATTTGATTTATTTCGTTCTAAATTTCATCCGATTGCACAAGGACAGTACGGAAAAAAAGGGGGAAGTAAACTTTGCTGCCTAGGCCGCGGAAAAAAGACGGTATTGGTAGATTCTCTAGAAATGAGTATCTTTTCCGACGCCACCCAGCGCTCAAAAGGTGAACTTTTGGAGCGAGTATAACAAAAAATCATTATCTTCAAAAGATTAATAATTTCATATTTAAATGTTTTGTCGCAGTGATATTTTCTCCGGGGATATTAACGCGTGTCACCCTGTAGAATATTACAGCAATAACAGTTGCTACAGTCGATTTTTTCAAAACGACCATTCTCAAAGTGCTTACTTCCCTCACTCATACATTTATTTAATACAGTAGACGTTCAATATAGTTACAGTCATAATTTTGAATTACTTGTGGATTTTAGCGATCCTTAACGAGCGATCCTAGAGGCTATTCATTAATTATGTATGAGTCCCAAGAAGGAAGAGGTTAAGAGAATTTACACTGTTGAAAATTTTTGAAAAATTACAAATGTTTTACTAATCAAAATCTTAGTAAAATTACAAATCAGTGTGTGGCAAATACCATATCCAATACAATTCGAGTAATCTACCAAAACATATAAGGAAACCTACATAGATTAGTTGTCATGTTACAAACTTCATGTAATTATTCGACACGTAATTGTAATTTTACCAAACCGTAGGTCAGTTATCGATAAAAAATTTCTAAAATTTACAAACACAGATTACAACAAAATATTGGAACTTAAATTACTATTAGGTGATTGAAAGTATACAAATATTTTTAAAACTCTGACTTTTGGAAATTCCATGGCTCAGAGTGCAATTTCATAGAAATTATTTAACCCTCTGAACCCGAATTGGGACTAAGTGAGCCACGCGGCGTCAGAGTGAGGAGCGTGTAAAATAAATGGGGAAAAAGTCGTTACATCAAGAGTGGGGGAAAATCTCATTAGGCTCAGAGGGTTAATATTCATACACGTTTTGTAATTTTGCTAAATCATTGACTAATGTACAATAATAGGTTTTTGAAATTCACAAATATTGTTTGTAATTTCATTTGCTACATTTTTTTGTTATAAACAATCTTATATAACAAAAGGAAACTTGTTTTTTTTCTCTTGAATTAATTTTATGCAATATCAAATATTTCTCAGTAATTAATTAAATAAAAAAATTTTAGTTTCCATCGATTACACCAGTACACAAAAAAAAAGTTGTTTGTGCATTTGAATGGACCCACCTATGGAAATATAATTCGACCCAATAAAAACCCAAAAAAAAAGCAAAAAATTGCGAAAAACTGATATCACAGCGATAAAATAAAATTTTTGTGGACCCAGATCAAATATGATTCTCATGTATTTCAATTCACTGAATCTGAATCTGAACGTTAATTAGCCCACTGAGCCGTCAAAATTTAAACAAATTGCGTAAAACAGGAAAAAATTGCAAAAAATCATGAAACCGAAATTATCAAGATGAAAAAAATTTTTTGCATTCAGATTCAGGATGATTTTTATGCATTTTGTTCCACACTGTTAAAAATTTTTGTAAAATTACAATCATATTACAAAACAAATGATATGTAAAATTACAAATCAGTGTATAGCAATGCTAAATAAAATACAATTCATGTAATTTTCCAACACCTGTCAGGAAATCTACTAAGATGTATTGTAATTTTACAATCTTCTTGTATAAACCTAACACGCATTGTAATATTACAGAACTGTTCGTCAATTTTCAAGAAAAAGCTTTTTAATTTTGCAAACATTAATTGTAATTTGATTCGGCATAATTGTATGTAAAATCATAAAAAAAATATTGTAATTTATATTACAATAATCTCATAAAAAATTTAAAAAGCTTTTTTTTATTTTTACAATTTCCATTGTAAAATTACACAGTGCAATGTAATGTTACCAGAAAATTTTATTTATATTACACGAATTGTAATTCTACTTCACCGTTTTCTAATTTTAAAAATAATACTTTTCAATTTTACAAAAATGAGACTGATGTATAAAAAAACAACAACGCCCTTCATATTTATTTTTTCTAATTTTTAGTCTATGGTTGTTTTTTTGGAATAATAAAATCGAGGCATAATTTATCTT